CTCTGGGAGGTCGTAGGCAACGTGTAGATCTCAGCGTTGGATGCAGTCTCACGCTCCGTTGTGGTCGCCAGGGACTCGGTCTCGGATGAGAAGAGGTCGGAGGTGCCGGGGGAACCAGGCATGGGAACGGCATCTCGGTGTACATGAGCTCCCGGAGGGGGCGGAGGTCCTCGGCGGGCTTGGTAGACCGGCTCCGGCTGGGGTGGACCCCGAGGAGGATCTGAGCGACCATATCCACGGTTCTGGTTCTGCACCGGCAGATTTACCGGTTGCGGCGGGGGTGGACCCTTTCGGGTCGTGTCCCGAGACGAAGATCCACGGGTCGGAGAATGCACTGGGCTATCCAACAGTGAGTAGTCCGACAAACCTCCCTCGGAGGGAACGCCACCACGGCGGCTGACCTTGTCCGGGCGCTGCACTTCGATCTCGGCCAGGAGCTCCTCAAGTTGGTTGCAAGCAACCACGCGATGGACCACGGCGGCTAGCTCGTCCTTGGCCATGGGTTCCTGCTGGGGCCTCTGCTGCTTAAGGTTCCGAGCAGCCATTGTCACAGGACGCTACTTAGAGGAGAGGAACTTACCCCGGCGGATGCACACTTAAGATCGAAAGCTTCGGCACCCACGCACATTGCATCGTTCAGCTGACAAGGCACATTGGCACTCGGACTTAGGACCATCCTGTTGCATGCGGTGTCGCAGGGGTCTATGCGGTGGAAAGACTAACAAACATTAACACTAGCCTGCAGGAGTTGGGCACTGCTTACGGTGCCCGTTGCAAAAACTACCAATTCGCAATAAACAGAGACCCAATCTCTAGCTTATATCCCTTCCTTGGAGATGGTGCCGTTCGGCAGCATCAAACATGCATCTCTTACTCCTGGGCAAAAATTACACTAACTAGGGCCACCCTTGGCACGGGCTGCTTCCTTTCGACCTGACTCCTTGCTTGGTCTCACGTGGAACGTGCACGAATCAAGCATGCGGAACAGAATCTCCTTATTTCCACGGAGCTTGGTCAGGCAGTCGGAAATCATCTGCAGATTGTTTGTCCAGTAAGGACGCACATGGCGTTCCGCGAGGCATGCCCTGGCAATGGCATAATCTATCGCCAGTCTCTTTTCCATAGCAAGAGCGCTGCTGCAAGCTGACCTAGTGAGGGCGTCATACAGGGACTTACTATCTATCACCAGGCCGGACGGTTGCTCGGGAACCCATTGCTGAAACTGGCGCGGACTCATGCCGTGGACAACCTCTTGAAGAAAAGCCTGAGCGAACTCGATGGCATCCAGGCCGTTCTGAGCGGCCAGTGTCTCTGCAGCGGTAGAGCTGCGAACAACTCTCCTTAATTTCTTGGATGACCATTCGACAACCCAGGTCTTACCCGGCTTCTGATCTAAGACATCTTGGTCGCAAAGACACAGCAAGAGGCCACCTTGTGATTCGCCGTTGGCTCGAACGCCCCAGCCGGCATCAGTGATCACGATCAGACGCCAGCGGTCAAGGGGGACCGGAGGAAAACGTAGGCACACCTTGCGGCTTTTCATTTCCCGAACAGCCTTGTTGTACAGATCAAGATGGGCTACAAGGGCTTTGTCCTGAACGCCTTGGAGATAGGACGCAAGGAAGGCCTGGTCGGGACGAGTGTGGTTCGCCACCCAGGCGAGCTGGCCACAACAAGCACGCATCAAGGTCGGCTCATTGAGCGAGTCGGATGCTTTGCCAAACGGTTTTGTGCTGACTTCCTCAAGTTTGTCAACATAAGCTTCTTGAGTCACTTCAATCGAGAAATCGGCGTTCTGGCGAATTTCGGCGCCTGTGTACTTAATCGTTTTCTTGCGGAATTCTCCGAAAGGCAGTTTCGCACGAAGTTTGGCTAAGCACTGATCCATGCAAGACGTTCCCCCGCCAAGAAGATCGTCCACATGAACTCCACACACTCCTAGGAGCTTATTCGTGTTTTCTTCTCGAAGGCAAAACACACAAGGATCAAGCTGCGACACAACTAGCCCTACAGCTAACAGCTCACGTGTGAGCCGAAGGAACCACGCTCTAGGAGCCTCAGCTAAACCATAAGCGGCCTTCTCTAACCGGAGGACGTCATCTTCACTAAGGTTCATGAACTCTTGTACCTCAGCGGGAGGCTTGAAGTACAACTGGCGGTTGGAGGCATCTCCGGACAGGAAAGCAGTCTTGATGTCAGCACCCCAAATGACCCAGCCTTGACTAGCACATATACTCAGGATGATGTGCTTGCTCTCTTTTCGAAGGGTCGGGGAATCCGTTGCAATTCTACCTAGATCAGGGTCTTGGAAACCTACCAGGACCAGCCGTGCTTTAGCTGACAGGGAACGGTCGTCTGGATCGGAGGACTTCTTCCAGGTGAGGACCCAACGGGAACCTATCACTCGGGACTTAGGAATACCTCTACTTTTGACGACCGTAGTGACCTTATTCTCTAGCCAGCTTTGCCATTCCTTCTTCATTGCACTGCGAAACTTGGCACGGTCCTCCGGGCCCAGCTTGCGGAAGCTCACTTCGACACGACGCTTTTGGCCAGGTTTGGCCGTCACGGCGACGCACTCTTCTAAGGCACTCCACAAACCTAGGCCGTTGGCGTCCAGGTCGACATCAAAGACATCGAAAGCAATTTCACAACATGTGGAAACATTATTCAAATCTTCTTCCGCGGCGGGCTCGGAGGCCTCGGGTCCGACAGACGATGACGGAGCTACACCAACAGGATCTTCCATAGTAGAGTCTGGCATAGACGGGGAATACTCGGCTAGATCAGGGTCTAGCTCGGGTTCTTGCTCAAGTCGTGGAGCCTTATCTGCTGGGAGCTCGACGCCCTCTTCGGAAAGACCGGGCTCTTCACGAAACCTGACCTGTGCAGGACCCCGCGGAGATGCGGTTGCGGCTCTCTCCCGCCAGTGTTCTTCACTTAGAGTTATCCTGCGGCGGACATTTCTGTCAGGGTGATCGTTTTCGGGATTGGTATCGGCGGATGGTCCGCCCTCTTCGTCTGAAGCCGGGGGTGTGAGGAAGTCTTCTGCTCCGGGAGGATCCGCAGTCAGATCAAAGAATCTTCCGGCCGGACCCCGTCGGGAAGGGGTGACCTGTTCCATCTCCGCGGGGAGATGGCCAGCATGGTATTGCTGAGCAAGCTGCCGGAACGCAACTTCATCCTCAGCCACGGGTCTCAGACATTCTGGTGAACACTTATACATAAACCCGTTAACCACTACCCAGATCACACGAGGGATCGGACTATCAGGACGAAAGCTCTCAGTACCGACTACCCGACCCGGGCCAAGCCAGGCCCCGTGCCTAGTACTGAACTGTCCCCGGTGATGCTTCCGGAACACATAGACATTCTGACCCACAACATAGGGGCCCCGCATGGGGCGGCTTCTCCCTCTTATGGCACGGGTCCAGGCGGTATGCGCATGGGCCTCGATAAAGGCTTCGGCAGCTCGCTGGCGAATTTGCATTTTTTGAGCAAAATCCTGTTCTGAAAGAACCGCATCTTGGATAGCAACATTGGTTTGCTCAGTGACATCAGCCAGGCTACCGGGGACTCGAGGCTCGCGTCCAAGAAACCATTGGGCACTAGAGAACCCATGACGCTTAAGCTGCTCATTCCTAACCCCACAACAGCCACAACAGCTCTCGATTACTTCTTCTGCAGGGCGCTCAGAAGTGCGCCACACACGCTGAGCCATGTTCCGGAGGATTCGTTGTGCAATCTCGACCCGGCCCAGTTGCCAGTGAGATTCGGTTGCCGAGTCTAACAGTGTAATCGAGTTTTGTCGGAGATATTCCTGGAACTCTCCCGACATCCACCTTTGGTCCGGGTCGACGTAGACTACTCGTGGGGGCCCGTATGGCCGGCACCACAGAGAATGGAAAGCACGGCTAACCACTCCCGGTCCAGTGGGCAACACGATCTGCTGAGCAAAGTCTGTGGCATAGTCGACAGCCGTAAGGACATTATACTTCTGTTCTACAATGCCTGAGGACGTGTCTCGCTTGAGCTCAACTTGCACGACATCTATCCCGACTATATGGTTCGGAGTCTCAGTGTGCCTTAACGCAGCTACCCGGTGCGATGGTGGAACCTGGAGTTCGTCACACACTGGACACTTGAACTTCCGGATAGCTGCCACGACTCCTGCTGGAGCCTTGGCCCTTTGGGCTAGACGGAGCATCTGAGGGACTGAGGCGTGACCGGTGTTCACGTGAAGTTTCTGAATCATGGCCGCATACGACCTGCGGTTCGCTGCCTGCATGGCCGGATTGCCCTCAGCCTCATCTGCGGGTTCGCTTTCGCGCTCAGAGTCTGCCTCTTCATCAGTTTCCAGAAAAATGTCATGGACGGGAGTCACATGCTTGTCACGGCTGGCAAACACTGATGCAATTCTGCGGCAAAGCTTCCGAGGATACACCTCCGAACACTGTGCATGTCGCTGCCCAGTCAGGTGAGCATGCTCGGCGTGACCCGGGCACTTACACCTACCTAGGGATTCAACCAGCCTAGGGTCAGAGGTCACTATCCTAGTCGGCTTTCTGATGGGAAGACCTGACCTTCTGTCAAAGAGACCTACGGCACACATATCGAAGTCGACTTCATAGGCAGGACCTAGGGTAATCTCGTGCCAGGCTAGGGATCCTACAGGGTTTTCGGCGTGAGCATGGCCACCGAGCATGGTCTGCAGAGACCAGGTCTGTTCAAACAAGCGAAGAAACGGCCGCTCCTTCTGCCGTTTGGCAAGCACGGTCCTTGCAGCGGAACCACCCTGAGCTAAGTTGACCCTAGACCAACCGGACCAACACTCACAGGGCCAGGAGAACCACACATCCTTGGGCCTAGTGCGGGCAAGAAGAAGCAAAAGGAGTCTGCGATCCCGGGCTCGGGAAAAATCTTGACCATGACTAGCACCCAACCTAATGCTTGCCAAACCGCGGATTTGCTCACAGTGGTGAGAAAGCGGTGCACGGCCAGAGAACACTTCCACCAGGCCTACCTTCTGCAGAGAGAGAGCCTGGGCCTGGGGTCCTAGCCATTCCTTGAGTTCATTCTCAACAGCTTCGGGTTCCTCACGCAGAGATGACAATGCAAGCTGAAACGGAACACGCCTAACAGCTTCAACTTGCCTAGCTATCTGTCGCCTGCTTCGGGTTGGCAGGGGAAGATGCTCCAAGGTAGTCCAGTCTACTTCTTCGTACATAGCCTCAAGGTCTTGGGTACTAACTACATCAGCCGGGCTCTCTCGTTCAGGCTCTGCTGCTTCGGTTGCATCGCACGTACAGCAGTCACACAAGCAGCGATCCTGCAGCAGCCTGGCAGGGGTGCCGCACGTTGCTTGGTTGCTCTCGACAGACCTGATTTCCTCCTGAATATCAGAGCTTGGTGGGTTCTTTGGTTCATTTTCCTTAGGCACGACGGCAGGATCTTTACCTACTGACAAGTTTTCTTCAACCTCTGAACCCTGATCCTGAACATGTGGCTCGTCAGGCAGAGGTGCCTGTGAGGCATCACCGTAGCAGTAAGCAAAGATGCACGCACCCGGCCGTTCGAAGACCGCTCTCCTGGATGCAGGTGGTCTGGGGTTCCAGGGAGTCAGTTCAAGGGAGCCTTGCGGGCTCAAGTGTGCCACGCGCACCAGCATATGGTGTGTGGCTGCCGGTTTTGGCACTCGCTCAAATCTGGGACGGTAGCCACACAGCGCAAAATCTACATCTCTTCCGAAAAGCATCCTAAGCTGATATCGCAACGTCCCAACATCGGCCTGCGTGTACCTAGTATGCTTCATCACAGTCTGGAAGTGGCGCTTCCTGTCAACATCGGAGATCTCGAAGGGTTGCTTTGGGTTCCTAGGGGGTTTTTCTTCACGGGGTTTAGCCTTAGGTTTTTCAAAACCCTTATCCCCTTGGAGAGACGGCTCGGTACATCGTGACGGCACTTCCCGTACCTGCAAGAGATCTTCGACGCCATCGGAGGGAACCAGAGGGAGAAGCATATGCCCATTGGGCGCCTGCATCAGCGGCTCATCTTGGATCCCGTGCTTGGCGCTGGTCATCGTGCACTTGCCCAAGTCGATCGTAGCCTCCATCCCTTGCAAGACCTTCCGCGACAGGAGAAAGGGAGCCTGCCCCGGGACCGAGTATGTGGTCACTTGACCCCACAGCTTCCCGAGTTTGACGGTCCAGCGCAGTCCCGTGCTGGTGGAGGTCCTGGTACCGTCGAAGCCCTTCAGTTGCACGGGAGGTAGAGAGACCTCCTGGGGTTCAGGGAGGCCCCGCTCGCGGAAGTAGATCTTATACCGCCTCGCAGTGTCTTCTCCCACCACTGACGTAGTGCAGCCGGTGTCGATCACCGCCAGCCCGGCCGGGACAGTCAGCGAGCAGATCTCGAGGACGATCTCATTCTCAGACGTCTTCTCATCGGACACGGCCGAGACCATGTACAAGAACTCGCTGAGAGGCTCGGTCTCGATCATATTGATGTCTTCCTTGCGGCCCTTGCGACCGCCTTTGGCGTCCTTGCCCGGACGCCTGGGCGGCTTCTTGTCGTATTTGAAAGTGGGCTGCACCGGCAGGGCGTCACTTGGAGCTGACGCATTGGGCGGCAAGGCAACCGCCGGCATGTAGGGCTGCCTTTCTTTCTTGATCTCTCGCACCTTTTTCCTGCTATCTTTGTAGGACCGATAGGCTCTCTTAGCCTCGTGTTTTGCCCTCTTCTGGACTTCGTAAGCTTCTTCCAGCTCCTCGTCGCCCTCTTCGTCGAAGCTCTCATCAGCCTCATGTATTTCTTCATCATCGGAGTAGGTGGGCTCACTCAGGCTGCTTGCTTCGTCGGCGGCGAGAACATGTGTAGAGCGACCTTGCCGAGGTGGGGCATGTCGGGTGCCTGGTTCATTCATCTTGTCTTCGTAGTCGGAAGCACGGATAACCTTCTCGACGTCCTTGAACTTGCAGGAGCCCCCGGTAGACCTTATCACTTGGCTCCTTTGCTCTCTGGTCAGGCCGTACTTCCTCATGAACAAGTGGCCCAGGATCACCTCGGGGAAGATCGGCTTCACACGCAGGTGCCCAACCTCGAGCTTGCCGAGGTCCTCCAGCATGCGGCGGTTCGCCCGCTCTTCGTCGGCACGATGTGTGCCTCTGCTCCGGTGAGATCCGCCACCGGAAGAAGGTGTTTTCTTCTTCCCCTTGGGCGAGTCGATAAAGCTGCCAACCGTCTTAGGGCCCTTGGATTCTGTGGTTGGCCCAGGACTCGCCTTGGCTGTAGCCGCTGGATCGGAGGCGGCCGCCGCCTGATCGACGCGGTCCTTGGTCAATCTGGGTTCGTCGTCGTCATCGGCCGCATGGTCCGAACTCAGGCTGCTGCTTTGCTGCTCGGCTTCACTGTCGGCGTGCTTGTCGACCGGCCTCCGGCGCTTAGTCGAGCCCTTCTGCTGGGCACGTTCAGCTGCCACCAGGGTCTCCAGCCTGCTCAACACCGCCTTGAAGCGCGACACGAAAGCTGTCGGGCCCTCATTGCCCCGACGCTTAAGATGGAAGAGAAACTCATCCACACACTCATTCAGCTCAGTCTCTGGAAGGTACCTGTAGTGATCGTCCAAGGCCCTCAAGACTTTGAGCCATCCTTGCTCAGTGCGCAACTCGCCGATGGAGAGATGCTCCGTCGCCCGCCAAGCCTCACCTTGAAGTCGATTCAAGATCCGTGGGCCGGCTAGGTACAGGTGCTTCTCCTCAAGAGATGCCACACTCAGCAAGATCTTCCTCCTGAATAACCGATACTCTGACGGCGCACCTGAAAAAGCAAGATCCTTGAAAGGATCTTTCTCACTCATAGCGGCAGACCAGGTTATCAGTCACAACGTCCCTGAGCACCGTAGTGCTCCGCTACCATGTAAAACCGAAGGTTCACTGTCTCGATCAAGCACTCTTTTGTGCTCACACCGCTGCCATTGCAATCCTTTGCAAAAGGTCCAAGGGCCCTCTAGAGCCGATAAGGCAAATGTACATTCCTTCACACGCGATGCTGCAAATCAGCCCAAGCGGTTTTACACGCCCTCAATGGACAGATTGCCTTCATCGCAGGGCACTTGTGCCCCTTTTGGTACTAAGTTCGGCAGGAAGGAAAGATCACTTGCATTAAGGATCGCAAATACTTTTCCACTGGAAGATGCCTTTACAGACAGAACGATCGCACTCAGTCATCAACCAGGGTGCGGACCTGCACCTTGCCGAGCCGCTCCATGATCGGGTAATCGACGGCGAGGAGGAAAGCTGCCAAGTCTGAAGCCTTCCCGGGGGTTGGCTTGTTGGCCTCCTGGTAGTAGGTCGAGCGGATCCAGCGCAGGTAGGAGAGGATGTCCTTGTCGGTCCAGGCATTCTCAAGCAAGCGGCGGTACGACCAGCGCTTCTCGGCATACTTCGGGAGCACCAGGAGCGTACGTGCCCAGGTTGCCACCTCTGGGAGGTCGTAGGCAACGTGT